AAAAGCAAATATTTAGGAAAAAGGATCTCGTACTGCCCTGGATCTTAAAACGTTCTTTCAAACAAAAAAAAATATTAATATATTGACTGAATCTGGATAGAGAAAAATGGGTTGCGAAATGGCCTATTTTTTAGCCTTGTTTGGTCAGTATCTCCCTCAAAACTCAATATTTAGGGCTGAAAGTTTTATCATAGCTTCCCTATTATAGCCCCAATATATCTTCTAAATTTCAGCTCATTTGAATGTTCCTAGGCCGAGATCGGTTTTTGTGGGGATCGGGGCCTTAATTGTCAAAGGATACTGAATCTTAACCGCTATTAATAGCTACAAACCTGATGGTTCCTTAGACAAAATCAAAGAGCCCAGTGAGTTATCAATTATTGTATAAAGAACCAGAAGGTCTCTTCCAACTAATAACAGCTACAGAGGCTCACAAAATTTCATTGGTTGAAGAAATAAACCAATCAGTTTTACAAAAGATTGCTCAATGTGAGCTGCTGTCATTTATAGGCTTATTATAGAATTTCGATAAGGACGTGCTTCTTTTACCTATGATCCTGACACAAAACCACAAACTATTTTTTTCATATGAGCCTGACCCTCAGTCAGCGGAATAAAGTCCACAAAAACTAACTTTTGACCGCACCACAAACAACCAAACGAGTTTAATTTTTCTCGAATGACAAGCCTACAGGTGACGAAAAAGTAGTTGACGGCTTATAGATACCACTGTAATATACCAACCGAGGGCCTACAGGTATCACCATAATCTAGTACTTGAGGACCTATGGGTATCCCCTAATATAGAACTTGAGAATCTATGGGTACCTTTGCAATATAGAACCTGAGGATCTATGCGTACCCCATTAATATAGCACTTGAAGACTTATGAGTAACTGTAGAGTATGGCGGAAGACTTAACGAAATTTTCAGAAGTTGTAATGCTAATGTTCTTTTGACCTTTGACCCTGGCACAAACCCACACACTCACAGACAAACTATTTTTTTCATATGAGCCTCACTACAGTTGAGGGAACAAATGAGAGATAGGACAATGAGATTGAAGTGGTCAATCTGCTGGTCAGTGGCTACAGCAGACAGGGCAGTACACCATGTGAAATTGCTTCACTCTCTACTACAAGATCAATCATCGTTTGAGTCGATACGTGTATTTTCAAAAAGAAAATGAACACAAGCAAGACACACAGTACAAACAAGAAAGAAACGAGGAGTATATATCTTCCTCTGACATCTATCAGATGCCGAGCACGCTCTCCTATTCAGTGGGTGAGTCATGTGAAGAGAGGTGGAAGAAGATGAGGAAAGAAGAAAGAAAAAAAGAAAACATGCAATAGAGAGAGACTGGGATCTCATTTCGACATGTATCATGGGCATCGACCATGATAAATGTCTAGGGTCTATCGGACGGTAATTAAAGCTTTTGTCTGTTTGCCTGTCTGTAACACATCTTAAAAATCATAGTGCGCCTGTCGGTTGTTTGAGAATCAACCGAGATTTTTGTTTCCTTAAATGGAAACAAAAAACTCTTTCTCTATTTCTCTCTTCATTGATCACTTTCGTGCCTTTTCCACTTCTTGCTTGTTCGATATCGAGGATGGTAAATAATTCATTCTGCTTCTCTATCTGTTTCTCTAAAATAGAGTTTTGAAACCTCAATTCATCTCTGCGCTGATCGTCGATTTTATTTCAATGTGTGAAAGGTGCTTCTTTTGTCTTAACGTTTTCTCAACTGCCTGTTTACAGAGCTTATACTGTATGGTGGAGCTTTCTTAGTTAGTCATGGTAGAAGGTGGGAAACTGAGTGTTGGAATACATCGCATGAGCGTTGAACTCCCGTATCAATCTCGAAAGGAAAAAATATCAATACTAATAGAGATTAAATTAAAGTTCCACCTAGGGATGAGTGAATCGGACGCCGATGAACGTTACTTGTTTTTAGTAAAACAATACAAGTCCGAAGAAACATCATATCATTTCACACAACAAAGTCTTATTCTCTGAGAAATGAGTGCAGTAATTCCAGCTACATAGCTGCTAGGCTGAATCTTACTATATCCGTACGCTATTCGGTCGACTTTCCTTTAAAATTAGATTGCAAAAAGTTTCCATTGGCTGATTAACTTTGCCATCCAACAGGAGTCTGGCTTGAACTGGCACATCGCAAATACCTCTAAAATGACGTTTCATACACTTCGATTCCTATTAGCTGTTAGCTGATGAATAGGATTTGGAGGTCTGTGAGGCTCATATTCGGACTCCTCATATCAAAAAACCCTCGGAGAACCACTTTTCCGAAAAGTCGATTCCCATTGGTTGTTAGCTGACCAATAGGATTTCGAGCCTTTTGGTGTTCAGATTCTGATTGGTCAGTCTCTATTACTTCTGGTCGTGCCACTCCACTGTTAATATCTTGTATGTGATTTCATCGTTAATGCTTGAGTCGTGTTTTTTTGACCTTTGACCTTTGACCCTGACACAGACACACAGACAGACAAACTATTTTTTTTCATATGACCCTCTCTACAGTCGAGGGAATAAAAGAAGTCAATTAAATATTGAACTATCGATTTAGCACATAAAGAGAAAAACTAAAATTTGACACACGTGCCACTCATGGAAAAAGTCGGTTTTCTCGTGGACCGTCTTTTAAGCTTTCATCAATATCAGCATGTCTTCCGATACCAATACCGCATGAGGGCCTGAGATTTTCTCATCAATAGTCCATAAGACGTTCGAGGTAGTCGGCAAAGATAGCCTATAAGGGTTCGAGGTTCCCCTAAATACTGGACTTGCTAGGTCTGACGTATCTCCTATATACTGGCTTGAGGAATCCGAGGTATGCTCCATATATAAATGGTATCTCATACATCTTAGACAAAACTGGAACGTTCACATCCAAAAGCATGAGCTATGCACCTCTAGTTAGGAACCACTGTAACTTTACTTTTGTTCAATCTGACTTTAGTCTATTTTAGCAGAAATAATTTCTTTAGTACATATACGAAGATAATGTCAAGGGACTTACTAAGAATTATCAGGATGAGCATCATTTAGACATCTACTTTAACTCTGATTTTTAAAGTTAAATTCGGACTTTAAAGTTTACCTACCCTTTTCAAAATGAAGTTAAAGTGTCACATCTATCTGTAACAAGTAATTTTCCGTATAATTAATCAAGACTCAGGTCAAGAAATCTTTTACTGAGTTCCATAGAATTCGAGAGAATGTGTTGAAAAATGCCGGAATTTTTTCTACGAAAATGTAATTTCTCACAAAAAGCTGTCAGCGCAATCGCTGTGAGATTAAAAATGTGAAACACGATGGAGCTTGTTATATTGTAAATAAAAGAATGCAGCACCATATGTACCAATTTTTCAATTACTACATACTGTTGCAGACAATATGAACAAGTAACATTCATTGAAAGTCAATTCACTCGGTCCTAGACTGACAGGATAGTGGTGTGAATATAGTTGTCTATAGTTGCAGGCAGAGATTCACGATGGTTAGCTGTATGTAACAAAATACTATTATGACGATCATTTGAGATATGGTCAAACAATTGTCGAAGATATTATGAAGATCACCTATTTACTATGCTTGGAAATAATCTACATTAAAAACCGATTAAAAGTGACGGTCATTGTTTCATTATTTCTTGTGATTAGATTATCGCTTTCAACTGCGCCCAGAAATCGATGCTTTATCATTAAATTAGAATTTGATAAGTGCGAGAAGAGAAAACTACAAAAAACAAAAATAATGTTCTATCAAAAATATGACACAAATTTTGATAAATATTCTACTTAGGCGCTATTATTATTCGAAAAAAATGACATTATATTTTTGAAAGAGTGCCATTTTTGTTTATCATAGATTTTTTTTCTCACTGCCTTATAAAAAGTCGAAGTTTTCGATAAAGCATCTATCCGCTAGCACAATATTTATTAACAATCCAATCACACTACATCATATAACAATGTGTAGTAGTTTTAAAGAATAGGGGTCGATAAATACAAATTATAGTGATTAAAAGCACCTGATAGCACTTTCGATGGTTATTTTAACTATACTTATCAAATGATCATTCCTACCGTACGACTATATAATAATTTGAACTATGTTTAAGAAACAATCAGTTGTATAACAGACACCGTGAACATTTTGATCGTAGTTGCTAAACGATCATTGATACCAGTATCACCATCGGCACTTGTATCACAGCTACTGTAGTCATCTGTACCATAGTCACTTCGGTCATTTGTGCCACAGTTACCATTACTATTTGGACCGCGTTACCAACAAACAGACAGAGATGAATTTCATTTTCTAGACCCTATCCTTTCAGTCTAGGAAAAAGAGAATAAAAGACAGATCTCTTAAATTTTATCGTTTCTCAGAAAAAAAGGTCTTTGTTGCTGTGGGAGGATACAAATTTCTCATCCTATATACTTCAACACTCCTTTTAGATCATGGTTCACAAAACTGGAACATATGCCTGAGAAGTTGTGTGATTCGAAATTTTTAAATATTTTATTCGGATCAGATCTCGTGGAATCTCACCGAGGATTTTAGGGTTCATAATCATAGAAAGATGTTGAAATTTATTGTTTCTTCCACGATTTTATCGTTATTCCATGGAAAAAACATTAAAAACTGTTGCATTTCATAGGTTTTTGTTGTACTAAAATAATATTGAACATAGGTTTTTTTCTGATATTTGTCACGCTCTCTAGACAGAAACTGAATGAATGACATTACTTTTCATCGAACTCTACTGTTATTCATTGTGAAAAACGCAGAATTTAGCGTTCATATACATATATTGCTGAGATGCTCTCTGAATGAATTCTGTATTCCTTCCTGGTCATTTTCCACACTACCCATCACACCAATTGTTTACGAAAATGTATCTAAACTCCAGAAATAATCTTATCTTATTTGAAAAAATTTTCTCATTTCTAATAGAAGGATTTTAAATGCAATCTTCAACTTCTCGCATTGTTCAAAACTGTGTTCTTGTTTGGTTAGACCCAGATATTAACAAACTAGATAATGCCTATCAGAATCCAATAAATGAGTTCCAACATATTGTTACACCACATACATTCGTCGATGTCGAAGAATGTGTCGATTTTATCACTGAAATCAAACACGAAAAAGTATTCTTGATAACAACGATTGTCCTTGGTAAACAACTAGTTTCTAACATTCATAATTTACCGCAAATTGATTCTATTTATATATTTTGTAACACTGAATCAACCCAGCAACAATGGGTTAACGACTGGTATAAAGTAAAAGGTGTTTTTACTGATCTACAATTAATTTGTGCAACATTAAAACAACATATGATTCAATGTGATCGTAACCTTATTCCAATTAGCTTTTTATCAAAAGATCAAGAATCGTTAAGTCAAAATCTGGACCAACTTGATTCGTCTTTTATGTATACTGTATTACTGAAAGAAATTTTAATAAAATTAGATTATAAACCAGAAGCTATTCAAGAATTGACTCGTTTTTGTCGTCAAAATTACGATGGCAATGGTTCATATTTACAAATTATCGATAAATTTGAGCAAGAATATACAAAACATAGTCCTATATGGTGGTATACTTATACGAATCTTGCTTGTCAAATGCTTAATCATGCTTTACGTACTTTAAATGTTAATACAATTGTTACCATGGGTGTTTTTATTCAACATCTTCATAAAAATATTGAAGAAATTCATTCAAAACAGATTACAACAATAAAAGAAGCTTTTATTGTATATCGCGGACAAAGTATGTCGAAAACTGATTTTAATAAAATGAAGAATTCAAAAGGTGGACTAATATCATTTAACAATTTCTTATCGACAAGTAAAAATAGAACTATTTCCTTATTTTTCGCAGAAGCTTCTCTTCAGAATGACGAATCAATACGTATTCTTTTTCAAATGACAATTGATCCATCAATCTCAACGACTCCATTTGTATCTATTAATGAAGAAGGATATTACAATAATGCTGAAGAAGAAATTCTATTTTCTATGCATACAGTTTTTCGAATTGATGCCATAAAACTACTTGAATGTCAGATTTGGCAGGTAGATCTTATTTTAACAGCTGATAATGATCCACAGTTGAATATTCTTACCGAATATATGCGAAATGAAACAAGTGATCAGCCAGATTGGCAGAGACTTACTCGCTTGATGATTAGAACAGCAAATTTTGATAAAGCCGAAGAACTTTGTAACTTTCTACTTCAACATACATCAGAAGAAAACTATGAAGATTGTACTCGTATTCACACACAAATTGGATATATCAAACAACATAAAGGTCAATATGATCAAGCAATAGAAAATTATGAAAAGACATTAACAATTCAAAATCAATACCTTTCTCCTAAACTTTTTACATTTACGGCTACATACAGTAACCTTGGTTCAGTCTATGAAGACATGGGTGAATATGAAAAAGCAATAGCATTTTATCAGAAATCAATTGATCTTGCTGAAACGTGTTCAGAATTGCATCGTCCTGATCTTGCATTTTTCTATAATAATATTGCTTCTACAGGGTGTTAAATAACCTTTACGCCCCCCCCCCCCTCTAGAACTTAAACTATAAATGATACCCACAAAGTATTTTATACCAAATTAAAGCGCATAGAAAACTGCATCTATCAGTACTAAATAGTGAAGGTTATTAAAATGTTTCAATGTCGAACTTAACCCTTTACCCCCCATAGCGGTTCCAGAAGAGCCACTGAGAAAATAACTTTATAAAAAGAGTATTAGCTTGTCGAATATGCCAATGGTGTGGCCTAATCCATCGAATGTCCTGGTTCTGGAGTAGGACGGTTTGATTGATATAAAAATCATGTGCTGGAAAATGAGAATTGTACGACATCATAAGACTTAATTTTTTTTTCTTTCACCACATTATTGANAGAAAGGTATTGATTTTGAATTGTTAATGTCTTTTCATAATTTTCTATTGCTTGATCATACAACAAAATCGGAGAGTATTCAAAGGCTTTATCATTTTATGAAAAATCACTTATAATTGCAGAAAAATTTCTTCCTTCGAATCATCCAGATTTAGCTACCACGCACAATAATATTGGAAAGCTTCACAATAATATGGGCAACTATTCAAAAGCACTTTTGGCTTATGAAAAAGCGATTGAAATTCGAATAAAAACTCTCCCGCAAAACCATCCTGATTTAGCAACTAGTTACAGTACTATAGGCACTGTATACGAAAATCTTGGAGAATATTCAAAAGCTGTTCAATTCTATGAAAAAGCACAAGAAATCTTAGAGAGTTCTGTTCAATTAGATCATCCATCTTGGATTCTTTTATGTGACAGTATTGCACGTATTTATCATCATTTGGGAGATTACACAAAAGCACTTTCATTCCACGAAAAAACATTACGGATTTGTGAACAATCTCAACAACCGAATCAACATTATTTAGCTGGTATTTACAATAATATCGGAACGCTTTATCACAAAATAGGAGAAAATTCAAAAGCACTTTCATTTTACACAAAAGCACTTGACATTCAAAAAGTATTTCTTCCAAAAAATCATCCAAATTTAGCTACCAATTATAACAATATCGGATCAGTATATATCAAGATGGGCGATTACAAAAAAGCACTCTTAGCTTTTGAAACGTCACTAGAAATTCGTCATTTATGTTTGCCTTCAAATCATCCTAGTTTAGCTACTACCTATAACAACATCGGATCAGTGTATAATAGAATGGGTGAAAACTCTAAAGCGCTCGAATTTTATAAAAAGACGCTCGAAATTCAAAAGCTATCTTTACCGATTACCCATCCAAGTTTAGCTACTACCTATAATAATATGGGTGCACTCTATGATGATATAGGAGAACAATCAAAAGCTATTGAATCGTATGAAAACGCACTTCAAATTCAGCAAATATCACTTGGTGAAAATCACCCTAATTTAGCACATATTTATAACAATATCGGGACAATCTATGACCATTTAAATGATTATTTTAAAGCACTTTCATTCTATGAAAAATCACTTAAAATTCGTGAGATATCTCTTCCGATAAATCATCCTGATCTTGCTATCAGTTACATCAATCTTGCCTCCTTATACAATAAAATGGAAGAAAAATCTAAAGCACTACTGTTTTATATAAAAGCATTAGATATTCAACAAATCTGTCTTTCTAAAGATCATGTTGATTTTGTCACAAGTTATTATCGTATCGGTTCTATCTATGAGTCAATGGAAGAAAAGACAAAAGCATCTGAATATTACCAAAAAGCACTTGAAACAATGGAGAAAACTCTTGATCCATTTCATATAAGTTTTATTAGTATATATAATAATATCGGATTATTTTTTAATACAATCAAAGAATATTCAACAGCACTTTTATCATTTGAAAAAGCGCTTCGAATTCTTAAAAACTCTTCTGAAACAAGTTTATTTGATTATGCATGTGTTTACAATAACATCGGTTTAATTTATTATAATATGGAAGATTATTCAAAAGCAATTTTAGTGTATGAAAAAGTTCTTCAAATGACACAAACATTTCTTCATTCAAATCATCCAGAATTAATAACTGTTTATAATAATATTGGATCGGCATATCAGAAAACAGAACAATATTTAAAAGCAATTACATTTTACGAGACAACACTTCAAATACAACTAAATACACTTTCTCCTTCAACGAATTTAAACATTGTATCAACATACAATAGAATAGGCAAGATTTATCATCAAATGAAAGAATTTACTAATGCACTTTCTCAATATAAAAAGGCATTGGAAATTCTTCAAATGTCATCTCCTGAAGAACATCATAGCTCGGCGATTACTTATGAAAACATCGGTACATTATATGAAGACATGAAAGATTATCAGAAAGCACTGTCATTTCATGAAAAAGCGCTAGAATATCGACAAAAATTTCTTCCACTAAATCATCCTGATTTAATTACTTATCATGAAAAAATTAAAAGTCTGTATGGAAAGATCGAAACGAGTTCTACATAAATATCATGTATAAATAAACATCAGCCACTTCAGAATGGATGTGGAACTGAGTGAGAATGGGTGTGGGGTGTGGGTATGGATGTGGGTGTGGGTGCGGGTGTGGGTGTGAGTGCGGGTGTGGGTGTGAGTGTGA